ATATATAATATATATTATATATTATATATATAAAATGTACATAAATATATTTTTAAATACATTTTTCGAATATTTGTGCTTCAACGGGAAACTGAAAAAGCTCTGTAGTATACGCTGAATAAGATGAAAATAACAGAGAAAATGGGGTTATGGTATTTTAGGTAATATATAGCATGTAGAAAAGATATAAAAGGGAAAAAATTTTCTTGAACTTTTGCTTTTATGTTCTAGTTCATCGTTTGATTTTTAAGGATTAAAATAAATCAAGAATGAACAACAATTGCTGTTTACTGAACGGTTTAAATCGCCCTATTTCTGTTTATAGGCATTCCTCCTGCAGGAGGTTAATCGATGCCAGTTTCCAAGAATTGTCTCTTACTTTTCGGTTTTCTTCCAAAACAGATTTCACTCTTTCTTGGTAATCTACTGATTTGATTTTTTTTCTGCAGGTCACTTTTTACTACTTTTACTTATCTTATTGAGTTGAATAAATTCGATCTTAAAACTTGTGACTTTTTGAGTACTTTACTACCTCATTTCTCTGATATTTACCTTCTTTTTGAGCAGCTGAATCTACCAAATTGTTTGAAAAGTTCGTGCATCAAATGATGTGTTGTTTTTGAATGGCACAATTTAGCTTATGCTTGCCAGCTTTATTTGCGGTTTTTAGTCTAAACTTTGAAGAAAAACTTTAATTGCACGGCACATTTGTTTTTTTTAGACAGTTTTGTCATTTACCGTGTTCTTCTTTTTTTCGATGTACACCATCGTTGTAAACAAGATTTAGATATTTGGAAGTGAACGAAAAGAACCTGGAAATGTCGTTTCAAAATTACTCTTTTAGAGCCTGTTTTATTTTTGCGCAAAAAAGTAAAAACTGAAGAGACCTAAAAATACAATAAGAGAAGAATTGTCAAACACATAAGCTTAAAAATGGTTTAAAATTTATGAACTTTTTAGTGTTTGAATTATTCGGGCTTCTTTTTGAAAATTCTTTTGCCATTTACCTAACACTTGGCTCTAGTGATTTACCATCGCTGTGAATGACGATGATTTTAAAACTAAGCTATACTCTAGAAGTTGTGAAGTTATTTCAGTAATCTTCATTCATTCATTTATGTGTTTCTTATTTTCGCTGTTTGTAAATTTAGTGCTG